ATGTCATTTTGGAGCTCAGTATTCAAGCTGGCACCCTTTCAAGTCTGTGCAGCTGAACACATGTTCAGCAGCAGTAAAACCCCCTCAGCACAAGTCAAAGGGACCATCAACAACTTAGAACTCTGTCTCTGATTGATTTTTGTTTCTGTCTGTTGTTATGATTCTACAGGTATTTAGTGCTTTCTACAGTTGTTTCAAGTTACGTAAAATCCACAGGGAGTGAAGTAGCAGGTGTTAAAGGACTTCTTGTTGAATTCAAGCTTCTGCACAAAACAGTCAGTCACTCCAAGACATACATGCACAAATAGACATTCCCTTGGAATAAAGCATAACTAATGCACATGATCCATGCAGAGTGGGATATGTTGCTCGAAAAGGAAGCAGGTGAAAGACTTGCAGTTCGAGACTCTCAGATGGGAGATAGCAACAACTGCAGATGCTGGAAGTCCAGGTTGATACAGTGTGGAGCTGGAGGAACACAGCAGGTCAGGCAGCATCAGAGGAGTAGGAAAGTCGACTCTACTCAGGATATTCAGGAAGAAATTCTTCTACCTAAACTCCAGTGAGGAACAATGGGCTGAAATTTAGGCCCCACTTTAGGAGGTTGTGGATAGTCAAGGTGTAAAATGAGATGCATTGCCGTGGGTGGTGTTCCCCAGTGCTTACTTGCCTGACTCCACCCCACTGCAATTTTACCCATAGTGGGGGAGTTGTCAAGAGGCCTGTCTGTCTGTGACCCAATAGAAATCCTGAAATGATTAATTAAATGACATTTAAGGGTTTCCCTCTGCCACTGGAATTATCTGCTCTGGCTTGTGATGGACAATGGAGAATACACCCTTTAGAGGTTTCCTTTTCCACCCTCGAGATCAGGACCTGTAAGCCCCCACTTCCCTTTGCATCCAATTCCGGTGCTGACGTGTGGCTAAGGTCCCAGCAATGATCACTGCTCCCAGTGGCACTGCTTGGACCAGAGAGCTGCCAGCCATTTGATTGGGGCTTGTGTGAAGTGCTGGCCAATTCATGCAATATCAGCACTTCCTTAAGAACGTCTTTTCTGAACTATGTCACTTGCTCTGACCACAAATGCACCCTTAGACCAAGGAAAGGACTTCCTTGCTCCTGGATACGAGGTGACTATGACAATGAACTTTCATGCACCTGGCTCCTCCAGGCTGGAGCTGGAGTTACTTATAAAATTTTGTTGATCACCTGTATTAGATTCACTGACATTCTCCATCTTTGAGAGTTCAATACATTTTATTCTCTCTTGCAAGAGAGAAACAGACAAGTTAACAAGTCTGCTAGGGTGGCTGACTTTTCCATAGTTCAGGATTCCTTTGTCTGCATGCATAGCATTTTAAAGGCAAAACATTCAACTCTGTCCTATGCCTGACATCTAACTGATGTGCAATGATTGATAGACAGACAATCATGTAAGTCAATGCCAGTATTCTGCTAGCAGTCAGAATGAATCCATTCTGCAGTTCACTGTTCCAGCTGCATTTGAATCATCAGAACAAAATCAAGGATGGGTACTGGACGACAAGCACTATTTGCTAACCACTTTGCTGAAAACTCAGGTCTGCAAACTATCCACACACTTACACCATTGAAGCAATGTAAACTCTATTTTCACACAAAATGTGATAGAGCAGACCAGTGGCATGATGAAACACTGTCTCATCATCTACTGCAGTACAGGAGCCCTGCCATACTCTGCAAAGAGGGTAGCAAGATTTGTCACAGACTATTGCATATTCCACACTTTACCATCGTGAGGCCACAGCCCTCACCACTAGCTCCTGGGAAACAGAAGCTTGAGAAGGAGATGGAGAGAGACAAAGAGTAAGTGAGGAAGCAACTTAGATAGCAACTGCACAGCTGCTCAGAGTGACTCACTGCTTAGCACTGCTGCCTCATAGTGCCAGGGACCTGAGTTTGATTCCACCCTCGGGCAACTGTCTGTGTGGGTTTCCTCCCACAGTCCAAGGATGTGCAGGTTAGGTGGAATTGCCATGCTAAATTGCTCCTAATATCTAGGGCTGTGTAGCCATGGGTAATGCAGGGTTACAGGGATAGGGTTGGAGTCTGGATGGGATGCTGTTTGATGTGGACTTGATGGGTCGAATGGCCTGATCCCACACTGTAGGGATTTTGTGAACTTTCTGCCCTGACTGTCCATGTAGAAAGTGTGAAAGCAGTCTTGAGAACCCCAGTTCATCTTGCACACCATACCTCCCTCTCTTACTGATTATCATAGTATCGGTTTGGATGTAATGTACAATAATTAAACATTGTAAATCAACAGTTTAAATTAATCATTATACGTCACATACAAATTTCAGCTGATCGATTGTGCATTTCTGTAGTGACATTTTTTGTGCCTATTCAACTGTCTCTGCACAGTCCTCTCCCAGTAGGCACAGCATCGGCAGAAAGTTGCTGCCTTTCAGTGGAGGAGACAGCATAATTTTGGTATAGTTGGCAGAGGTCTGTGCTGGTTGGATGACAGGTAACAGAAGGTTTTTGGTGAAATGGCAGGGAGTGAGATGATTGCTGTAATCCTTGGATAGTGAAAAGGATTTGTGCCGTGTAGAGCCACTGCTGCAGAGCTGCATCTTAGTAATCCTATTAATGTGCTGCAGGGCAGATTGCTGCATCATTCTGCAAGACCCTGTAATCCACAGCCATGATAGCAGAACCTATTGATGGGGTCTCTGTTAACTGAGCTTGTACCTACAATACCCTTACCCCTGCTATGATTATAGCCAGTTTGTGCATATCGTTTCACTGTATATAGAATCCTTCCCTACTTTGCAAGACAAATGCATAGTTATCACATGAGCTGATGCTGACGAGTGCAAAATCAAGTGATGCCATGTCTTCATCAACTGTGTTATCTTAGCATTCCTCCATTGATCAGGTTGTACCTATCTGAGAACACAGGGATAAGGCAAAAGGTAGGAAGTAAAGTAAGAGTTTCATGCTTAAATTATTTACAGTTTGTAAATCAGAAGAGATTATACGATGAGGAGAAGTTGGACGTGGGAAGGAAGCCTTGGTACAAGGGCACCATCGTCTTTGATAGTTTCATCCTCACAGTGGCCAAGGCCTTAGCAATGGACATTCCAATAATGCCCAGCACCCTTTCCTACATGAGGGTCAGGACATTCAGGTGCACATGTCCACACTGGTTGGTTCTTGATGCCTCTAATGTGCACCACCTTGGGAAGTGTGACAATCAGTGTTGTATGATGTGTTTTGTTTGTGTTGTCATCATGGTTAAATAGCTGGCATTGTGTGTGAGCTGTAGGAAGTGTGGTGCTTGCAGCAGCAATCTTGATGTGTTGGTGCAGTGGAGTACATAATGTTAGGAATGAGTCCAGATGGATAGATTGCAGATAGGTGACTGATGAAGCAATAGCGATTTTAGTACTGCCTGAGGCTGGTTGTACAGCTAATGGAATGAGGCATATGAAGATACATTCACTGACCTTGACCACATAATGTATTTGAACATTTTGCAACATTATATCCGCAGGATTTGACTTCTGGAATTGAACTCTATGGCTACCTGGTCTCTCTATTTTCTGAGAATTTGTCTGGAAGGCGAAGGAAGGTACTAGATGAAGAGTGGTACTTAAGAGTCATAGAATACAAAAACAAGGAGCATAAACTAAATATGGTACATTGGTGTATTGGTAATGTTACTGGACTGGGATACAGAAAATAGGACTAATAATTCAGATAACGAGTTCAAGCCCCACTCTGGTGACTTGAGAATTTGAATAATATGTTATTTGGTCTCAGAATGCACTGGCTGAAGCTCACACCGTAGTGCACTTGAGAAGGTGTTAGTGAGCTGCCAGTTTGAGCAACTGCAAAGACTGTGGTCTGGTTTGCTAGGCCATTTAAGAGGATGGTAAAGATTTGCTTTGGATTTGAAGTTGTATGTGTCAGACCAGTAGGGACAGCAATTTTCCTTCTTTCATGAGAAGTAGAGAACATTAGTAATCCAGAAGTTACTGTGGTTGCAGTGTTAGGAGAGTTGGGCGGAGAGGTGGTGTTGTGCTGTCAGTGTGACACAAATAGGCAGCATGAACAGGGGCAGTGGCTAACATCTCCTGGAGGTGGTCTGAGGCCAGGTGGATGAGCAGTCTCTGTTGCAGATTTCAGGAGGTAGTACGTTATAGCAGAGGCCACAACTTGGCAGGCTGATTACTGGATGTGGGCTTAAGTCTGAAAGATGGAACTATTGGACCAAAGTGCCACCAATCCAGTAAGGTACATCCCCACAGTAAACAATGTTAAAATGAATCTCATGATGCTGAATGAGACTTTGTCACAATAACTTACCATTATCAACAATCAGCAGAACAACAATAAATGGGCAACATTAAACGTAGACTCCTTGTATCCTTATGACACTGTCTTGAGGTATGTACACTAACTCAATTTTGCCATTATGTCCTTTTTTGTGATATGGCAGTTTAACTGACTTAGTGGTGCTATTGTATGGAATCCATTAAACAGCCGGCAATATTGCAACTGGTTCAGTTTCCTATTTTTGCCCAGGTAGCTACTGTTAATGTTGATTTCAGCATTGGGCTGCCTATCTCTCAAAGTTCTTCCATATTTTCTTTTGGTAGAATTTACATTTTATTCAAAAAATTTGAAAGTTAACCTTAAATTTTAAAAAAATTCTCAATTGTAAATCCATGCAGTTATATTTCCTGCACTTATAATTCTGCAAACTTAAGACTTGAAAAAACTCTGCATTTGCCTAAATTGAACAACTGCAGCTGAAGCAGAGAAAAAAAATCAGTAATAATAGGCTGTTTAATTTGCTAAATAAACCCACAAGTCAAAGAAAAAACTAATTGGGCTTTAGCACACTGTTATTAATTTAGAAATTTTTTTGAAAGATGACTAGCTATTCATTTGTGGTGAAATAATACATATTTAAGTCATTAATAATATTGTACTTTTATTAACAGGAACAGCTTTAACTGTTATAGCGTGCTTGCTTGTTGTCATCGTTATAATCGGGTTGGTGATATATTTAAAGAAATGGTAGGTTCATGCACTTTAATAAGGTCAGTGGAATACTACTAACCAGAATCCATTAAAAGAATGCCAACATGTCTCTTCTGTAGAGACTCTACGCTTTTAAACTGGGAATATCAATGCTCGGAGATCTTCTTTTGGTACCATGGGTCTGTACCAATCTTCCTGGGTCACTGGCTATGTTCTCTCCATACTGTCGTATGAGGCAAACCCTAAAACAGGCAGTAATTAAACCACTTTTACATCCTAAATGAGCAAAATTGACTGTAACGAATTTTTAGCCAGTTTTGTCCCTTGACTTGCCATTATAGAATCATAGAATACAGAAGAGGCCCTTTTGGCACACAGAGTCTGCACTGACAGAAACTACTCTAAATCTACACTAGTCCCACTGTCCACCACTTGGCTTATGGCTTTGAATGCTAAGACATTTAAAGTTGTTATTCCAAGTACTTTTACAAGGAATTGAGTAGAATTCTCACAGATACCAATGAAAAGTACTTTCACGTGATTATTCTGGGTTAAAGCCAAACCCAGTTCCCAAAAATAAAAGAATAGTGATAATAGATTTTCCCACTGTAAACATATTGAATGAAGGTCAGAAGTTGATTACCAGAAGAGAGGTTAGGTGTATATATAATATAAAGGCAATACACATCTTATAGATGTGACTAGAAATTAATTTGACTTTGTCTCAGCATGACATGCAGAGCTTAAATCTACGTTGCTGTGAATTTATAAACATATAACTCAAGTTGACAGTACTAACAGATCTTGTGTTTCTTGGGCCCACAATTTTCAAACTGCAAACCAATAAATAAGAAATTTAACACTAGTTAAGGATGATATTTCCTAATTTTCAAGAACTACAATGCCATGGTGCCAGGACTGCAAGTCTTTATACGATTCATAAGCTGCAGTTCAGACATCCCAGTTCTAAGCTATCTTAAGTATAAAAAAATGACAAGGTAAAATTTGTGCTCAGTGGTGAGGGTTTTTGTGGTGCAATTCAACTAAAATCTGTGGAACTCTACAAACAATAACAGATTTTTAAGTGCAAATAACATTTAACACAAATTCAGTTTCCACAGTCCCTCGAGGAGCCTGCAAAGATTAAACTTTTATTTTCACATAAGCACTCTAATAGGCACATTTTAAAAGACTTCAAATGTCATTTAAAACAAATACTTATTCGGAAACTGACTACTTCAGTGTAACTAGAACAAAATTTGTGCCCACTCCTGATAATATGACAGCAGTGTTTTGACATTAAAATTTGCCTACATCCTGGTACAGATGAATTTCAATTGTTCTTGCCTGGAACACTTTATTGTGACAGGAGTATGCTTTCTGTGTAATGAGGTTTAACTTAGCTTCTCTTTGATTGGAAATCCAGACAATAAAACATTCCCAGCTCCTTCCTCCATCAACTAAACCTTCCTTAGACAACATTAAACAATATCTGTGACCCAATTACATGTCATTAATTGGAAGCTGTAACTGTTGGATTTTTTTATAAGACAATTGAAACCAAAAACTAGGATAGGCCAAAAAAATTTAGAAAATTAGTTTTAATTTATTTTCAAGATTGGACAGATGTTTAATTAATGTAGATGAATTTATCTTGGTTAGATTTGAGAATTCTGAGCTGAAGATGATTTGCTGTTGCCGGTAATAAGAAAATATGAAGTCGTATTCCCTTCAACAAAATATTAAAAGTCTTTCTTGTCTTATTGTAGGAGAGTGTTCTACAGCCGCCTAGAGGAAGACTACACAACTGGATCTTGGAGCAATTACAACAATCCTGTGTTTGAAGATTTATGACAACAATCTTTTAAATTGTTACCTTTGTGTACATGAGGCATTAAGCCACAAATGTGTATAAAGTATTTTCTTGAAAACAATATTAAATTCAGAATGCTGGAAAACCAGGTGAAATTAGTCTTAGGTGCTGTCAAAAATTGGCAAATGTAATGCAGTAACCAATTTTACAACTCATTCAATTTCTTTTCCCAGTTAGCTGTTTTGAGTTACTCCCCAAGTCCAATTTTGCACCCTAGTGCTCAGTGGCTTTTTTTTCCACTCAAGGAATCTATTCGAGGTTTTTGCCCCAGAATTTTTAACTTGACAGCATCAACAGTACTTGATCAAGCTATCAAATTACTGTGGCAGATCCTGGTATATAGCAACTGCAACCTGAGCTAATGTTTTATATGTCAATCTTGCAGACTTGTTTTTGCAAATCTCGGCAACATTTTGTTTAAACTTGCTTCAGATAGATGTTGGCTGCATAGTTAAAATGTACTTTATTTTCTGCTGATCTAAATAATGTTAATATTCAAGCTTTGCTATAATAACTAGCCCAGACGCAGAGTGTTAGCTGTGTGCAACATCTACAAGATGCACTGCAGTGACTTACTCGGGCTTCTTCGACACCTTGGAAACCCATGGGTTCCATCACCTTGAAGGACAAGGACAAGAGCAGCAGTTGCATGGGAACAGCCTGCCTTACAAGATCCCCTCCAAACCACATACTATCTTGATTTAGAACTAGATCACCACTCCTTTACTGATGCTGAATGAGAATTCTGAAACTCCCTCCCTAAACTCCCTTCCTTTTTCCTAGAGTGGAGGTAGCTTTTACGAGGGGACATAGTTTTAAAGTGAAAGGAGGTAGATATAGGGGAGACGTCAGAGGTAGGTTCTTTACTCAGAGAGTGGTAGGGGTGTGGAATGCATTGCCGGAGAGGGTAGTGGAGTCGGCCTCATTGGGGCATTTAAGCGGCTATTAGATAGGCATATGGATGATAGTATAAGGTAGCGGTGGAGGTTAGATAGATCTTAGGTTTTGGGTAAAAGTTCGGCACAACATTGTGGGCCGAAGGGCCTGTACTGTGCTATACTGTTCTATGTTCTATGTTCTAATGTAGTTATTGATACATACATACAGCAAATTTGACTGGAATATGACTAGCGTGTAGAAAAGTAGTTTCTGGCCCTAACAGGAATCTTTTGTGTTATAGTGGTCAACTGAGGTTATCAAAGATACAGCTGAAAAGATAACACTTTGTGGCCAACCCTGGATGCACAGTATTTACCACAAAGTTTATTTAAATAGAGGGACCTTGATTTCATGTTGACTTGACTTATTACTGATGCATGATTGTAACATTGGTCAAGGGTAATTAATTTTCTGGTTCATTCCAAATTTATAAAGGTTTTGCTTTCATTTTTCAGTTGAAAAGCCATTAGATTATGTTGTATGTTTTGTGAACTTTACATTTGGATTAGTTTAACTATTATGAACTCATCATTTCCCTGATCTGTCATCAGTGGGTGAAAATTCTGTAATGGGACTCAGGACATAAGAAAAACAGGCTTGGCCTTTGCATGCACAGAAAAGATAAACATATTGGCCTTATTCTGTGGTCAGCCATGGAGAAATGGTGCTTGACAGCTGCCCATACGGTTTTCTCAGGCTCATTAGGAGAGACTTGCATTACTCTAGCAACTGATCCAGAGTGACATCCTCTACAGGGGATCTGTGGAATGTGAGAACAGGGCATGCAAGGTGAGGCTTTTCAAACAAGGAGGTTGAGGAGTTGTTATGAAGATACATAGGCAGATTTCTCACTGACTTGACCTGCAGACTGTGGGTTAATCAGAAAATCAGGGATGGCCCAGCATTGGGATATCTCTCATGATAGTAAGATTCAATTCCACAACATGTGAGTCATGTCAGTGATTTGGTTCCCTGCCCAAAGCCCAGCTAGATTAACAAACAAGCCTGCATCTCCTAGGGGCAAGTATGTATATTTTGCAGACAAAGACACAATGAGCAAGACATCAACAAAGACAATCAGGCTGAACACAATCCTCAGAGTAAAGGAACACAATGTTTGAAATCATGTCAGAGATAGTAGGAACTGCAGGTGCTGGAAAATCTGAGATAACAAGGTGTAGAGCTGGATGAACACAGCAGGCCAAGCAGCATCAGAGGAGCAGGAAAGCTGACGTTTCGGGCCTAGACCCTTCTTCTTATTAGACTAGACAGGATTGAGGTTCATAAGGAGGAGGTGTTAGCAATTCTGGAAGGTGTGAAAATGGATAAGTCCCCTGGGCCGGATGGGATTTATCCTAGGATTCTCTGGGAGGCTAGGGAAGAGATTGCAGAGCCTTTGGCTTTGATCTTTATGTTGTCATTGTCTACAGGAATAGTGCCAGAAGACTGAAGACTAGCAAATGTTGTCCCCTTGTTCAAGAAGGGGAGTAGAGACAACCCTGGTAATTATAGACTAGTGAGCCTTACTTCAGTTGTGGGTAAAGTGTTGGAAAGGATTATAAGAGATAGGATTTATAATCATCTAGAAAGGAATAATTTGATTAGGGATAGTCAACACAGTTTTGTGAAGGGTAGGTCGTGCCTCACAAACCTTATTGAGTTCTTTGAGAAGGTGACCAAACAGTTGGATGAGGGTAAAGCGGTTGATGTGGTGTATATGGATTTCAGTAAAGCGTTTGATAAGGTTCCCCATGGTAGGCTATTGCAGAAAATACGGAGGCATGGGATTGAGGGTGATTTAGCGGTTTGGATTAGAAATTGGCTAGCTGTAAGAAGACAGAGGGTGGTGGTTGATGGGAAATGTTCATCCTGGAGTTCAGTTACTAGTGGTGTACCTCAAGGATCTGTTTTGGGGCCACTGCTGTTTGTCATTTTTATAAATGACCTGGATGAGGGCATAGAAGGATGGGTTAGTAAATTTGCGGATGACACCAAAGTCGGTGGAGTTGTGGATAGTGCGGAAGGATGTTGCAGGTTACAGAGGGACATAGATAAGCTGCAGAGCTGGGCTGAGAGGTGGCAAATGGAGTTTAATGCGGAAAAATGTGAGGTGATTCACTTTGGAAGGAGTAATAGGAATACAGAGTACTGGGCTAATGGTAAGATTCTTGGTAGTGTGGATGAGCAGAGAGATCTTGGTGTCCATGTGCATAGATCACTGAAAGTTGCCACCCAGGTTGATAGGGTTGTTAAGAAGGCATACGGTGTGTCAGGTTTTATTGGTAGAGGGATTAAGTTTCGGAGCCATGAGGTCATGTTGCAGCTGTACAAAACTCTGGTGCGGCCACACTTGGAGTATAGCGTACAGTTCTGGTCACCGCATTATAGGAAGGATGTGGAAGCATTGAAAAGGGTGCAGAGGAGATTTACCAGGATGTTGCCTGGTATGGAGGGAAGGTCTTATGAGGAAAGGCTGAGGG